TCCACAGTACTCAACATCCTACCAGAAATTGGAAGAAATTAATTTCATCAAATGCAGAGGCGTTCTATGAAGAATGAATCGGACGGTACGCAACAGTCTCTCGGACTAGACAAACCACGTGCCTTCGAAGGACAAGGAGAGCTGAAGAAAGACGTCCAGTTCGGCTCTTGTAAGAACGTTTCTATTAGTAGTCGTAGCTCTAGTAAAACAGTTAAAGCTTTAAGAATAGCCGAAATAGGAGAGAGGCGAGTTAAACGTGAGGTCGAACTTCAACGGGCTATTTTTGACGCAGAAAAAAGGACAGAGCTAGCAAGGATAGAGGTAGAGACCGATGAATAGATGTCCGATGACGACCGTCAACCCGTTGATTCCGTCGCGCATGTCTCAGGATATTTGAAACAATGCACACTGGATGAAATTTCTCCTGAAGAGAGTAATCATTGCCAACGTGAGAATGTTGATATGCCCAAAGCAAGCGCTAGGAGCCTGCCAGCTGCCAGTTTAGAACTGCCCAAGGTTGAGTTGTCCTGGTTTGACGGGAACCCAGTTTATTATTGGAAGTTTATACGACAGTTTTAAGTGTACGTAGAGAGCAAAGTTGAAGATGCTGGACAGAGGCTGCTGTACTTGATTCACTATTGCAGAGGTGATGCGAGAGCGGCCATAGAAGAATGCGTCATGCTTCCCTCACCTTCGGCTTATTCAAGAGCACGGGAATTATTGAGCAGCTTATTTGGCCAGCCACATGTAGTGGCTAGTGCTCTTCTGGACGGTGTTTTCAGACAGGCACGCCAGGTTAACCAGACTGCGAAGGCACTTTCAGATTTGTGCATAAAAATGAGAAGTTGTGAAATAGCGCTCACGCAAATGAACTACGTTTCCGACCTACAATCGCTGAATGTCCTAGAGCGAATTGTGCGCTGTTTGCCGTTTTTATGCAGATTCAATGGGCTGAAGTTGCTGATAAAATATCTATGAATGGTAGAGATCCGGATTTTGCAGACCTCACGGAATTCGTAAATACTCGAGCTAGGATAGCAAGAAGTCGTTTCGGACAAATATCTCGAGATGGGGATGGCAAGCGCTCTCAACAGCCCTTTACTGCCACGGCCCAACATCAAAAACGGGAGAACCCTAACAATTTTGCCATTTCGGGTGTCGAACCAGATCAACGGCCATGTTACATATGTTCTAATGCACATGAAGTGGCAAATTGCCCACGTTTAATTGCAATGGGTGTCGCAGATCGATGGAATTGTCTGCGGCAACACAAAGCGTGTTTTGTTTGTCTTGGTAATACGCATTTTGCCAAGGTGTGCAGCTCCAGAGGACTTTGCGGTCATTCCGGGTGCAAAAAACGACATCATACGCTTTTGCATGTAATATCGTCCGAAAATAATCAACAAACATTACATGATGAAGGGCTTTGTGCCCTGACTGGAGTTACGCATGTACCATCACGACTGGGGGTTATTCCTATCAAGTTGGCAACTCCGACAGGAAACGTCGAAACTTACGCATTTTTGGACAGTGGCTCGGATGTCACTCTGATTAAACGAAAGCTTCTTGTCGAAAATGGAGTGTTAACAACGCCAACATCATTGACAATAAACACCTTAAGCGGTTCAATCAAATGCAACTCGGAAGTCAGAAGTCTAAGGGTGCTGCCCATGAATGGAACCGAGTCAGTTGAGATTGAAAGGGCTTTGGTAGTCGAAGACTTGCCACTTCGTGCAGAATCGACAATTAAAAGGATAGCCTCTTCGTGGCCACACCTGAGCGATATAATGTTCGACGAGCTCACTGATTGCGAGGTTGGCATACTCATTGGGAATGATATCGTGGAAGCTCATTGGGTACTCGACCAACGTCTGGGTGGCAAAAGGGAGCCGTTCGCCGTTAAAACATTGCTGGGCTGGATGCTGCTTAGGTCTTCACGTGGCAGGCAAAAACAGAAGGCTGTCTGTCACTGCATTGTAAATCAAGAAAAGGACGTGACGCACAGCATTAAGAAGCTATACGACTCGGAGTTTACGGACACTTCAAGAACGACTGCGAGTCACTCATTGGAGGACAAACGGGCACTGGCTATTGTGCGATCTTCCGTTACAATCATAAAGGGGCATTACCAACTGCCACTCCCTTGGCGAAACAGTACGCTGAATTTACCGAACAATTTTCAGTTGGCGCGTAAACGACTAATCCATCTCAAGAGTAAGTTGGGTCGAGATCCCGAATTACTTCGGAAATATGAGCAAACATTCCGTTCGTACATGGAGAAGGGATACATCGAGCGAGTTGACGGCAACAAAGCGTTCCCAGTTACGAGACACTGGTACTTACCACACCACCCCGTTGTCGACCCCCGAAAACCAGAAAAAATTCGTGTAGTATTTGACTGTGCTGCCAAGTGTCAGGGCGTGTCTCTGAATGATAATCTATACCAAGGACCTGACCTAAACGCTAAGCTAGTAAGTGTGTTGTTGGGTTTCCGACTTGAGCGTATTGCAGTTGCAGGGGATATAGAGGAAATGTTCTTGCAAGTGAAAGTTGACCCGATTGATCGACCTGCTCTGAAATTTTTGTGGTGGGAAAATGACGACCTTGAAGGAGAGCCAGTTGACTTTCAGTGGACATCTCACCCATTCGGATTGACTTCTTCGCCCTTTTGTGCCACCTTTGCGTTGCAAAAAACTGTTGAAGATTTCGGTTCATCTTACTCTTCATCAACTTGCAGAGCGATTCACCAGAGTATATACGTTGATGATTGTCTAGTCTCGTTCTGTGATGTCGATTCAGCCAAACGTTTTGTGGACGAAATTTGTAAACTTCTCTCTCAAGGCGGCTTTCGTATGCGGAACTGGGCTTCTAATGACCGGCGTATACTCTCGGTCGTTAGTGCGACTGAACGTTCTTCTGGTATGCGAGATATTGCCGTCAACCTCCTACCTACTGAACGAACTTTGGGGTTGCAGCGGGATACGCATTCGGATATTCTGGTGATAAGTTTCAATATGCCCGCAAAACCGTCCACTCGTAGGGGTATTTTGTCCTGTTTGTCCTCACTTTATGACCCTCTGGGCTTCGTTTCGCCTTGGCTGATACCAGGGAAGTGTTTACTGCAATCCTTATGCAAAAACGGACTGAATTGGGGTGAAAAACTATCTGGCATCGAGAGCTCTCGTTAGGAAAACTGGATCACTAATTTACGGAGCCTGAAGACTTTTCAGCTGGGCCAATTTCTAAAGCCCAAAGATATCAGCGATCCGATGCGAGCCGAACTGCACGTGTTTTGCGATGCCTCGGAGGTAGCATACAGTGCAGTAGCATATGCTCGCTTTATTAACGACACAGGAAATTTACATTGTTCACTAGTTTATTCGAAAGCCCGTGTTGCCCCCCTCAAAGCCGTCTCTATACCACGTTTAGAGTTGGCAGCTGCTACTCTGGCTGTGCGCGTGGCTGATCTCATCCGCTCAAGCACCGATAGGTACTTCCAAAAAATAACGTTCTGGACCGATTCTGTGATAGTCCTTTATTATATACACTATGAATCAACCAGGTTCTGCACATTTGTGGCCAACCGACTGACGGTTATACATGATCTGTCTGCGACCTCTCAGTGGAGATACGTGAGTTCGGACGTCAACCCAGCAGACATTGCTTCTCGAGGTACGTGCAACTTTGCGCTGGTACGTAGATGGTTGGACGGTCCGGAATTTTTAGTTGAACCTGAAGGCGAATGGTTTGTACAACCTCCCGTAGGACAACCTGAAGACTCGGAATTCAAGAGGACAACAGCTCCAGTTCATGTATTAAATCAATGTGATGGTTTAGACGAATTAGTTATGCGTTTTTCAAGTTGGACAAGGCTACAAAGGGCTGTGGTCTGGCTCCTGCGTTTCAAGCAGTACGTCAGAGTCACCACTGGCCAGGCTCCTAAGGAGACGCTGATGTTGGGTCCTATCCGAGTATCGGAAATGCGCCAAGCTAGCATTAACTTGATAAAGCTTATACAAAGGAAACACTTTTCAGCAGAATTGGATATTCTGCAGTCTACACCAGCAGATTGCCAGAAAAGAAAGTCTGTGAGAAATATGGGCCTGAGAAAGTTATGTCCGTTTTGATTGAAGGAGTAATGTGCGTTGGTGGCCGCCTGAACTACTCAAATTTTTGTGAATCGTTAAAACACCCGTCAATCCTCCCATACAATCATCCCGTGACGGAATTAATCATACATTACTTTCATGAATTGGAAGGCCATTGTGGGACAGCCCAAGTTCTAGGTGCAATCCGTCAAAAGTTCTGGATTCTAAAAGAAACCACTTCTGTCAAACGTGTCATCGGTAGATGTTTACTTTGCAGACGTAAATTTCGACAACTTCAGGGGCAGATGATGTCCCCGCTTCCCTTAAATAGAACAGAAGTCGGTTGGTATCCCTTCAAGTGCGTTGGGGTGGACTATTTTGGTCCGTTGATGGTCAAACGCGGACGATCTTCGGAGAAACGCTATGGTTGTGTGTTTAGCTGCTTACAGACGAGAGCCGTTCATCTTGAGATTGCCGCCAGCCTGACCACGAATTCTTTTGTTCAGTGTCTGATGAGATTCGTGAGTAGACGCGGACGTCCCACTGACATCTACAGTGACAACGGAACCAATTTTGTTGGAGCGGTAGCAGAACTCCGAAAGGACTTACACTATTGGGACCAAAAGAGAGTGTCGGACCAACTGCTAACTCTAGAGATACAGTGGCATTTTAACCCACCCGCTGCCAGCCATCGGGGAGGCATCTGGGAACGAATGATCAGGTCTCTACGACGGATTCTTCTTGCTCTCTGTAAGGAGCAGTCCCTAACTGACGAACAGCTCGGCACCCTCTTCGTGCAGGCTGAACGTATATTGAATAATAGACCGCTTGTCTCGCTAACATCAGACAGCAACGACTTGGAACCGCTTACCCCGAATAGCTTATTGTTGATGAGGAACTGTCCAGTGCTGCCTAGCGGTGACGAATTGGTAACACGGTACCACGCTGGATGGAAACAAGTGCACTACCTCGCTGGCGTGTTCTGGAGACGATGGGTAAAAGAATATCTTCCAAGTCTGCAGAAAAGAACAAAATGGACAAGAGAAGCCGCGGAACTGAAACCAGGTGATGTTGTTTTAGTTTCTAGGGAGCGCACACCTCGTGAGAATTGGCCTTTGGGAGTAATAGATAGGTGCGAAAGGAGTCGCGACGGCCTCGTTAGGATGGTATTTATTTGAACGGCGGGCGGTCTCTTAAAAAGGGACGTTAGAAAGATTTGTCTACTTGAGGGTCAGAGCAGCCGTATACCTCCAAACACGTAGAGCATTTACAAGAGCCGGACATGGAGAATTGGCGGGCGGTGTTGTATCCAGCTGGCCAACGCTTGGAATTCTCCACGCCCTCCTCTCAAGTGCTTCCACATTTGGCCCCTGTTGACATTCCCCTTCCCCTTTTGTAACCTTTTTTGAGCGCGATCGGCGTTATTTTAATTAACTAGTTTTGTATTCTGACCTTGAGCTGGGAATTCGATCTGCTCGAACAATAACAAAGGAATTCTTTGTCCAGGGTACCCATTGTTGAGGTTTGCACGTTTTTTCATCATTACTTTATTCTATCAATAGTACCGTATAAACACCGAAATCTGTTTTGGCTTATACGCGTCACTTTGCCAGCAAAGAATTCCACAGCACCTGTAACTTGTCAACATGTTCGACAGTGGACATCGAGAGATCCTCTCCTAAGTCGGGTAAAAAGAGCCTTACAATCTGACTGGCCGTCCTCTACCTCCTCAGATTTTCAAACATTCTTCAGACGTCAGAACGAGTTAAGTCTACAAGACGGATGCATGCAATTGGGCAATCGTATAGTTGTGCCACCGCAGTGCCGATGGGCCATCCTCAGAGACCAGCATAATGCTCATCCTGGTACAGTTAGAATGAGAGCTCTCGCCCGCAGCTATGTTTGGTGGCCCAAAATTGACGTAGATATAGAAAACGTGGTGAAAGCATGTTACGTGTGCCAAATAACACAGAAGACCTTACCAAAGGATCCTCTGAAGCCCTGGGCCTGGCCCGGCTCGCCGTGGAAGAGTATACACGTCGATTATTTTGGGTCATTCCAAGGCCATATAGTTTTGGTGGTAGTGGACGCTGTAGTGGAAACGTGGACTTAAAAACTACAAACATTAATATATACAGGAAAAAATAACACCAAATGGGGGTATTGTGTTTACCAACAAAAAAAGAATGTACAGATTCGAAGAATCAGAAAAGGAATGTTCCAGACTCGCGCAAAGTGGAATCCTCTCAAGTAGCGTGATAGTATTCCGATGAGGAACCGGTTGAATAGAGGCAGTCGGTTCCGCGATGATATGGTGAAGTAGGCTTGTGAGGAGGGAGTCTCCGTCAGCTCATACGAATTGCGAAGAATATTGAGAGGTTACAAGACGAAGGCCAAGAAATAATGACATCAAGCACACTCGAAACCAGTACGCACGTTGACCGCCGCAGATTTGTTAAGCTGTATCTCCGTTTAGTCAAACAATTGTACAGGAAAGTCAGGTGTACAAGAAAGTGTAGTGAAACAAATCGAAAATTTACAAAAGCCTACACAACTCCCCCACCAGATCATTTGCCAAAGAAACAAAACGCTCAATAAAATAAAACGGAAAAGGGAAAAAAATACACTACAAAGTCTTTAAGTTTGGCGGGAAAACGGATATGTCTACCGGAACGAGATGAAATGGGCGGTGGTGTAGGAGGAGGATCCGGTTGTGTGGGTAGAATGGTCAAGTGTCGTGATGGAGGGTAGGTGATCGGAGTGGGTGTATCGGGTGAGGACATAGTAGGGGGAATGGATGGCGCACTGGTCGACGGGAGGCACTCCAGATAGGCTGGCTTAAGGCGGTCAATTGAGACCGTGTCAGTCTTATCAGCCTTCTGAAGGACGTAAAACGTGTCTTTTCGCTGAACGACCTTATATGGGTCATCGTAGGGAGGACAAAGGGGCTTGCGCACTGCGTCATGCCGGACGAAAACAAAGGGGACAGATTTAAGGTCCTCGTGTACAAACACATGTTTCGAGGTCAGACGAGTGGGGGTTGGACGCAGTTGAGCCATGCGTTGTTTCAACTGCTGTACGAAGGTGCTCGGGATGTTAGTGTTTGTCGTGGAAGGCTGCACAAATTCGCCGGGCAGACGGAGGCGTGTACCGTACACAAGTTGGGCGGCAGTGCATTGGATGTCCTCCTTGACAGAAGGTCGGATGCCCAAAAGCACAAGAGGGAGATTGACATTCCAAGTAGCTGACTCTGTTTGGGACATCAGTGCAGACTTGAGTTGACGGTGTAGACGCTCAACGAGGCCGTTGGAGGCAGGATGGTATGCCGTGGTTGTGATGTGCGCACACCCGAGCAGTCTAGTGAACTCACGGAAGAGGCTAAATTGGAATTGACTTCCGCGGTCAGTGGTTAGGGTGGCTGGAACACCAAAAGTTGAGATCCAGTAGGTAAGAAAAACCATGGCGATATTTTCAGCCGAGGTATCCGAGATAGAAACAGCAATCGGCCATCGTGTGAAACGGTAAACTACCGTCAGTATATGTGTGTACCCACGTGAAGGGAGTACCGGTCCGATTAAATCCAAGTGAACGTGATTAAATCGAACGTCCGGGACCGCAAAGGTACTTGGAGGGGAGAAGGTGTGTCGATGCACTGTTTGGTCCAAAGAGCAGTGTCGGAATTCATCTTCGGCCAAACAAAACGAGCCGCAATTAACTTACGTCCGGCGCGAATGCCAGGGTGGGAGAGGGAGTGAAAGTGATCAAAGACAACCTTACGATAGGATGGTGGAACAGCAGGACGAGGGGTGCCTGTGGACCAATCGCACAAAATCGTACCTGGTGACGCAGGAAGTGGTGCATCTCGAAGCTGTAGAGTAGTAGACGTACGTAAGTTCGCGATGGACTCGTCTGCTGTTTGGAGGTCTGCAAGCTTCGCCAGGTCGAAATCGGATGTGAGTGTGTTGATGTCCGGACGGGATAATGCATCAGCAACAACATTGTCGCTGCCTCGGACGTAGCGGATACCTGCAGTGAACTGCGATATATAGTCCAGGTGACGAACTTCCCTGGGCGAGTACCGATCTGGCTTGGCCTTGAGGGCGTAAGTGAGAGGTTTGTGGTCGGTTTGGACCGAAAAGTCTCTGTCCTCTAAAAGGTGTCGAAAGTGACGTATGGCCAAGTAGATGGCAAGGAGCTCGCGAGAGAAAGTGCCATAGCGAGTCTGCGCCGGTTGTAGCTTCTGTGAAAAGAAAGCTAAAGGCTGCAACTGGTTATTCACCTGTTGATGCAAGACTGCGCCGACAGCACTGCTGGAAGCGTCGGTGGTCAAAATGAGCTGTGCATGTGCTTTAGAGCTGAGGTGATGCAGCATGATGGCATCGGCAAGAGCCTTCTTCGCTTCCTCAAAAGTTGTATGGGCTGCCGGTGAAAGTTAAATAGGTTTTGCTTTCGACTTCAAAAGGTCAGACAAGGGAGCCAGGATTGTCGCACAATGGGGAATAAAACGTCTGTAATAGTTAATAAGGCCTATGAAACGTCGCAGCTGAGTGAGTGTGATGGGAACAGGGAAAGACAAGATGCCTTGTACCTTCTCTGTAAGTGGAGTGATTCCGTGCTGATCGACGTGATGGCCAAGGAAATCGAGAGAAGGAACGCCAAAAACGCATTTGTCGATGTTTAATTGCAAACCGTGTTGCTGTAAACGATCGAATATGAGGCGTAAATGCGAGGCATGTTCATCTGCCAAGGAGCTTGCGACGAGTATGTCGTCGATGTAGACGTAAGCGAATGGAAGGCCCCGCAAGATCTCATCGGTAAAGCGCTGAAACGACTGGGCAGCATTGCGCAAACCAAAGGGCAGGTGAATAAATTCGAACAGCCCAAAGGGTGTCGTGATAGCGGTCTTTGGGATATCTTCCTCCGCGACCGGGATTTGGTGGTACGCCCTGACGAGGTCTATCTTGGAAAAAATAGTTTTACCGGCTAACATGTTGGAAGAGTCATGAATGTGGGGAATGGGGTACCGGTCAGGAATTGTGGACCTGTTTAGGGCTCGATAATCACCGCACGGTCTCCAATCGTCAGATGACTTCTTTGGCACCATGTGCAGTGGTGAGGCCCATGTGCTAGATGAAGGGCGTATAATGCCCAGATTCATCATATGTTCAAATTCGTTCTTTGCTATTCGCAGCTTCACAGGGTGGAGTCTACGCAGACGAGCGTGCACTGGTTGCCCTGCCGTGACAATGTGGTGTTTCCCTCCGTGTTGAACGGTTTCGGTAAAATGACATGATTTAGTGATGGACGGGTAGTCCTTCAAAATGTCAGCGAAAGGGGTGCTGGGGATGGTAAGATGAATGCCAACCGAACGTTCAGAGCTAATGGTACCTATGGTAAAGAGTTGGGTGGTTGTGTCTATGAGGCGACGGTGTCTGACATCGACTGTTAAGCCGAAAGATGACAAAAAGTCAGCCCCGATAATGGTCGATTTGACGTCAGCCTCAATAAAGACCCATTGAAAACGTCGCCGGAGACCAAGATCTAAAGTGAGGGACCGTTGGCCGTAGGTGCTGATTGTGGTGCTATTTGCAGCCTGCAATGAGAATTTCGAAGGCTTGAGGTGGTGACGCCTTAGAGGCAGGATGGCACTGACCTCGGCACCGGTATCAACCAGGAAACGGAGGCCGCTCGACTTGTCGTTGATATAGAAAAGGCGACTGAGTCGCGACGGGCCAGCAGCAGTCGTAACCATTACTGGCTGGCGTGGTCGTTTAACTATGGAGGACAAGCGAACGAACAAGGAGGTATGCACTTTCGGGCTTTCGGGCCATAGGTGCGATGATACCAACATAATAGTTGTGAACGCCGCTCACGGGATTTAGACCGCCGATGTGAGTATGGCTGTTTTCTAGCCGATTGAAGACTGTTAAGAGCAGAGCACATGTTGCTCACCTGAGTGCAAAGGAGGCGCACAGTGTCTCTTAGGTCGTCGTAGTCGGTGCGATAAGCGTCGGTGGGTGTTCTGGGAGGGCCGGCTGATGTGGGCGCTCGTCGGGCTGTGCAACAGCATGATGCTTTTTCCGTATAGGGACTGTAGTGCTCTGATAATGCTGGGCCTTCTGAAGCAAAGTCAATGCCCTGATGGGGCTTGCCTTTGGAAGGCGGTGGCTGTTGAATATTGGAACACGAGGCATCAATGGGGTAACACTGTTTAATTCTGTCAGCGTGGGTAGCTAGCTTTTCGGAAGGTGTATTCCAGTCCATCATAGCCAAAACCTGTTTCATAGGCACCGGTAACTTTTCTAACCAAATCTCGCGAAAAATGGCGTCGTCCGTGTGCCTACCAGCGAGAAGTGAGCGCATGTGACGCATGAGCTGGGAAAGTGTCTGATCATCTAGCTCTACTTGCGTGAAAAGTTCCCGCAGCATAAGGTTGGCCGATTTAGCTACCCGTTGGATTACCGCTTCCTTCAGCAGCGTATACGGTTTGTCGGCGGGAAGGGGTCAAGGAGGTCTTCGACGGTGACAGCAACATCAAATGGGAGGGACTGCAAAACGTACGAATAGCGGGTACGCTCGCTAGTAATGCGGCTTGTCGCAAAAAGAGCCTCGATCTGCCTGAACCAAACGCGAGGATTGCTCGGGGTAAACGGTGGCAGTTTAAAAGAAAGGGTGTTAATGTCGAGTGAGTCTTTTTGGGAGTCGTCACTGGTCATGGTAAATAAAAAAAGGTTCGGAATGCAGGAAAAAGCGGGGTCGCCAATTTTGTAGTGGAAACGTGGACTTAAAAACTGCAAAAAGACCGACCATCGTTACCTCCCACAGTCATGTGTATTTATTCATTTTGCTGCCCCGTGGAGCAGGATATATTGGCTGCATAACTAGGCGTCTGGAAAAGAGAATACGCGAACACATGCCCACCTGGCTAGGTAGAGGTGGAAATCGATCTATTTCGAGTTCAATTCCCGCACATCTAATCTATACGAACCAAGTTAAATACCGGACACCGACACGCTACTCTGAAGTCCTGTGCAAACGGGTGCTAGCCACAGCCGAAGCAGCAGCCATTGGACTAACGAACCCAGCGCTCTGTCGTCAGAAGACGCTGACACAAGCAGTCTGTCTGCCCTGGCCGACTCCAGATGGTGCTCGCACGCCGTCCCGATGCCCTAAGAGCAGTCACACACACTCACAGCACCTTCAATCTAACCGGAACCCCTCTCCTTTCCCCCATCCTCCCACCCCAACTCCACCGTCCTCAACACCCTGACTTCGTCATGTGGGCGGCGTGGGAACATGGAGTCCGAGTAAACCTGCTCCTGAGACGCATTTATATCCTGTCAACAATTAGAATGATCATTACCCATGTATCGGCCTGATGATGAGTTACCGAAAACAGATGTTCGCCAACTGCCTCTACAACGAAGTAGAAATAATTAACTACGACGGCAAATAATCTGCTCATCTAAGTGTGAGCGGGTAGCAGACAAGTCAAGTTAATGAACCATCCCCGTGATAGTGGCTAATAAACTTAAAAATTGCTTACTGAGTGTTATGTATGCAAAACAGAAGGTTAACTGGAAATAGGACGTGTACTGAGTACGATAGACAGCAGAAGTGAGGAGACTTGTGGAAACGGCCGGGGATATGCCAAGGGGGACTGTCATAGGCTGATGGGTGGCCAGTCAGCAAAATGAAGGTGTGAACAGGGGGCCATGACCTTGATCGTTCGCTTGTCACGCCTTTTTGGCATGATGTCCTGACGGCCCGGGCAGGATACGCTGCATCCCTCCACCCTAAAGTGGAGAGCATGAGGGGGAGGAGGGGGGGGAACAGTAAAGGCAATAGTAGGTAGTTAGACAATGTTCTAATAAGATTCGTCCCGAAATCATTGGACAGTTTTGAGAATTCGGGCCGATCTTCTCAGGACGGTGTTTTCTACCTCTGCGCCGCTTTGTGCAGTCACTGGATCCTCTGTCCCTAAGCTAGTGCTGACCGGGGTAGAAGGAGGAGGAGGAGGAGGAGGAGGAGGAGGAGGAGGAGGAACGTACGCCTCGGTCGGTGGCGTAGTGCTCTGTGCAGGCAGTAGGTGTTCAGTCCTCGGGAGGTCAGGATCTCTATCAAGGGTTGCTGGCAACTCGAAATTTCCGAATTCTCCACTTACTGTGTCCGTTCGGCAGCGAACTTGGTCTAGATGTCGACGCACAATTCTCCCATCTTCTAACTCTAATTCCACTATTTACCCCTCGCTTGATAGAAGTACCGCTGGACACCAGTTCGTTTCGTGTTCCAGTCGCGTGTAGACACTTTCGTTAGGCAAGACGACTCGTGGTCGGGTGGTCACATCATATCGTGCTTCCTCCTTCGTCTGTTTTGCAATGACTCTATCATGCGTTGATGGATAAAGCAGGTCGAGTCGTGTGCGCAACTGCCGCTTGAAAATCAATTCTGCAGGCGAAACACCGGTTGAGTCCTTTGGTGTTATGCGATAACTGAACGGAAAGCGTGACAACTTGGTGGCCAAGTCCGCTTCCATCTGTTTGGCTAGTCCGTGCTTCATTGTCTGGATTGCACACTCTGCAAGGCCATTAGAAGCAGCGGGGTACGGGGCAGTAGTTAAATGTATAATTCCATTTTTCTCCATGAAATCTTTAAATTCTGCGCTAGTAAAGGCCGGACCATTGTCTGAAACGACCACTTCAGGTATCCCAAAAGTAGAAAAAACGGTTCGTAACTTATTAATTGTAGTCAGTGAAGAACATGAATTTCCTGTCGGAATCGAATCAATCCATTTAGTGAGCGTTGTAGACTTTTGTAAATTTTCGATTTGTTTCACTACACTTTCTTGTACACCTGACTTTCCTGTACAATTGTTTGACTAAACGGAGATACAGCTTAACAACTCTGCGGCGGTCAACGTGCGTACTGGTTTCGAGTGTGCTTGATGTCATTATTTCTTGGCCTTCGTCTTGTAACCTCTCAATATTCTTCGCAATTCGTATGAGCTGACGGAGACTCCCTCCTCACAAGCCTACTTCACCATAT